ACGAAGCCCCTGTTAAGGATTAATTTCGAAAAATTTAAATCACAGCTAGGAGTTGTCATGTAGTAAAGCCAGAGTCACCGCAACTTGCTCTGTGGGGGAGTGTTGAATTTATGGAGTACAGAGATAAGTCAGGTGATGGTTAATGGAAGTGATTGATGAAGAGTTTGGTTGTTGAGTTTCCTATTATTTCTGTGTTGGGATACACTTTGTCGATCCTACTAGGCTCGATAACTAGTAGTCCCGACCGACTGGTGTTTGGCATATGGAGATTGCGCATACCCTGTGCTAGCGTTCTTTGCTGCTGTTAATAGGAGATCCCGCACGGGCTATCTATTGGGATCAAAAGGAGTCTGGTACCTGGGTTTAGTTGTCAGAGCAGCATGTAAATAGCAGGGCGGAGACATGGGTCAAAGAGGTGGTATTCAGGCTAAAGAGTGCCACCCTACATTATGCATGAGATAAGTGCATAACTGCTCGGCCAAAAGGCCAGACCAGAATCATAGAACACTAGATTCTAGTTATCTCCACATATATAGATTATACAGTAGGCAATCCTGACATTAGTAGAGTAGTCAAATTGACATCCTTTTATCCTTCATTATTGCATAAGCTTCCCTCTACCAATAAGTCCACGAACTAAGAAGTGGGTTATACATTTCAATACCTTTGTATATCTGATTGCTCCCGCATCAACACTCGAACTGTGACATTATCTGTCTATTTTTTTTATAGATTCTCTGACAAGAAAAGCCCTTCATGTAGGTAGTAGCAAGTCCGCATGGATCACATACCCGTATCACGCCTCGTGGATGAAGGGCGCTAGCCCGATACGGCTAGAATACATACATGCATACCCGACGTGTTGGCACCTGAATATATCCAACAAAGCAAATGAAAGCCAGGATCTTGTCATCCAGCGCTTGAATATTAAATTATGCATGGTTACCGGTATCCCTTCAACTCTCATGCTTCCAGATAGTGTTAAATGAAGAAAAAATTAAATAAAATATGGAAGGGGGAACTTAGTTGAATCACATGACTCCCTCTCGGTCAGACTTGTTGTGCTTTTCCAAAGAAATTTGTGACACGCACCCAGCTATTAAATGCGTGAACTCCCTCTGCAGAAGAGAGAGCCCAAGATATTCTGGGACTATGATTCTGTGCTCTGTGGAGCCGTGCCCGGTACTGCCCAAGGTGGCAATAGAAAAAGTGGTTGGGGGACTTTTCTTCTCTGCATGAGCAGGTTAGAATGGCGTTTTCGTGCTGAAACTGTTGGTGATAGTCTGCGAAATCGCCATGTCCAGATCATGCAGCTTATAGATATCCTAGTGTGCGTCGCCCTAGACAGGCGAGCACGGCAGTAATCTTAGAATTAGGACCAATTCCTAATTCTTTATATCTAGATGGTAAATTTTCTGCCTAATAAATTGCAACAGAAGCTCGTACTGGGCTTTGACTTCCCTTCTTGCCCTCGCAATAGAGAATACCGAGTGTAGAGCTGGAGCTGCACAAGTGGCTTTGGCAAGCACGTCGGCTGCTTCGTTTCCCAGAATACCTGCGTGGCCTGGGCACCATCAGATGGCCACTTCCCCAGGCGTTGTGTTTTGGCTATGTGACCTTATTTTCCAGTTTGCTGCAAGCTTGCAAAAGAGAAAGATTTTTGCTGAGCTAGACACTGTGGGAACATCAGAGAGAAGACGGAGGGCAGCCTCCTGGTTGTCAAGGTAAACGGCGACGTTAGAGGCATAGAAAGCCAGTTGGTTGAGGAGTGCTGCAGTAAGGCCTTCCATGGCCCCGGCAATTTCAGTATCATAGACCTCTGCCGAGTTTTCTAGAGGGAGTGATCCTCGTCCAATCTCCTGCATAAGACCTCGATATATGACGTACCCCGCGCCTGCTCGGTCTGCTATGAGAGCTCCATCTGAAAATATTCTGGGGGGGTTTTTTGTTTTGTTCATTTACGTGCTAGGTATAGTGATTCCCGTTGCACTCCTACTGGAGCTTGAGCACGGGTGGGGCCAGGCCGGATCAGGTTAACTACCGTAAAGTACAAGTGTCTCGTCCCACCTGAATGACCGGATCACCTCAGACTTCACCCATGTGTTGAATCAAGTCAAGTCTTACCGTCCAGAGAACCCCCTTTTGGCGCGCCGAAGCGCAATTTTCTCCTCAGCCTCGGCCACCACACGCCCGAGCCCTTGATAACTTCACCATCTGTGACTTTTCCCTTCGATTCATTCCCAGCTTTGGCTCATCTCAGCATCTCAACATCTCATCTAGGAGTCGTTTTCTTCATTGGAGACCTCATCCAGTCGCCCACCAAGGCCTCCTCAATTGGTATTCCCGTTTGTTCCTTCGTGTAGTATCCCTCTATCCTTCAGCCCGTCTCCTCATCCCAGAAACTTTGTAGAATGTCCACCCCTCCGTCCTTGCCCCGTCGCTGCCGTACCCCTAACCGTGGAGGTCGAAAACGCGACTGAGAGCTCAAGACCGAGCCACCGGTGCCCCAGCCTTGTCGAACGCTCTGGTTAGTGTGTCGGCAAAATGTCGTACGTATTTCGTCGGTGGCGATTCGTCGCAGGTCGAGTTATTGGTGCAATTGGCCGAGGTGAGGACGCATTTAAGGCCGGTATTTCGACCGTACATTCACAGAGACTGGCAGTTGCGGAGGCTCGAACGCCCTCTTGCTCATTAGTTGGCAATTTGGCTTTTGGAGGTATGGGATTGCTTCGGTAGGTGGTGAGATGATTGTGGAGTGGGCCGCGAGATGAGTTTGGCTGGGAATAATTTTCCAGAGAAATAGAAAATTAGATCTTGAAGGTGTCGGTTGTTGTGACACGAACATCAGAAAGATTATAGCCTATCTGCGGTTCGTATCTGGGGTATAGATGATTGATTTCGTTGAGTTGTGCAATTGTGAAATCTCTGCAAGTCGGATTTTCGACCAAAAATGAGCCAACTCGACGAAAACTCTCTAATTCACCCTTTATCGTGACTAAATCTCGGCTCTGGGAGAATATTTCACTCCCAGGTTTGTAGAGGACACCACTGACAGGTGTTCAGCCTTCGTCCTCCATTCTGGGGGGGTGTAGTGGTGGTACGCCACATCTCACGTGACATGTTTCACAAAAGAAATTCGCTGGAAGCATATAATAAATTCTCTTTAGTGAGTCCACATGGATCACATACCTTTATCACGCCTCGTCGGTGTAGGGCGCAAGCCTGATACCACTAGAATACATACATGCATATACTAAATTTTCCATGCTTCATCTCTTCAGCAAGTTTAGCCCAGCTTACAAATCAAGTCACATGTCTTTAAGGCCTAGCGACTGATACTTTACAGTTACAATAACATCTATTCTTTTAGTACTACTCCTAAAATGATAGTCATTTAGCTACCCACTTCGTACGTTGCGATAAAATTGTGCTTATTTCATTGTGCGATATTTTCATTGGAAATTTGATTTGATTGGGAGTGCCTAATCATTTCCTAGTGGGCCAGCATCTTCTGCGCTGTTAAATTTGACTGGACTTGGCTACAGGAGAATATCTTTTTCCCAGCTACACGGAAGGAACCAGGGACAAGTGTTCAATATTCGTCCTCCAGGATGAGACTGTCGTAACCTAACACTTTCTCGTCCTCAGACAACGCGATGAACAGTAATTGTATAACAAGTGACTACTCGAGGAGGTGTACTGAGAAAGAAGCGGAAGCCGCTAGCAAACCCAAACAATATGGCTCATATGTGGATAAACATCCCAGTACAGTATAACAATGATGGTAACTTATTCATATAAGTCTCAGACATCCTATTTAATTATAACACCAATTCCACATCCTCATCTCTTTCACTTAACGCCAAACTTGAATGGAAATATCTTGAGGATGACTGGTGAAGAGGGAGGATTGATCGGCCGATGTTCGGAGGTCATCGATGCAAGAAGACAAGGATCTGGGGACAAGAAGATATGTCGATTATAAAGAAGCATAGAAGCTTGACAAGCTTAGCAACCATTTTTTATTGGGGCGGACTCCATTTCGTACGAAGAAGTAACACCGAATCACCTAGACAGCTTGTAATTAAATTCTAATCATAATTCTGGATGGACAGTTCAAATTGACGATGGATCTAAGACGACAAGGGCGATCAAAATCAATTTCGAATCATGTAACGCCCAAAGAGTAATATCATTCTCTTGGCAACGAGGTTGGAAGGACTTAGGATTTTAGATATTTCTGTTCCGTCAGCGACACCAATAAATAAAAAGCTCAAAGCTCCTCATCACTGCGAGATAAACCATAAAGACTAGTCAAGCATCTGCAGAAGATAAAATTGTCGGATAGATTGAAGCAAAGCCAAAGAAGAGTATAAAAAATTTAACACTAGAGTATTTAAACTTCTCTAGTTCTGACGATGTAGAGAGCATATCAAAAATCCCATGTATTTTACTGGCTCTCTGTCCAGCTAAATTTGTACCGAGTGTCTCACTCATTTCCTGGCGACAACTCCAAATCGCTGTGAAAGAGATTTCCTTCGGGCTGAAGAGATAATTCATAAATTGATACAAGTATCTGAAGGAGTCAAGGCAATTAGAAGGAAGAGCACTGTTGTCTGCTGCCGTCAATTTACAATTTTATGGAGTTGAATGTATCCTAGAAAACTCGAATGAAAGATATAGCCTATTGCCTCTGCACCCGGAACGCGATATATACGCCTTTCATCATGCTAGGTGCCGTTGCTAACGAGTAAGTCTGGTTTTGGGATAAAGGCAAGAGCCAAGCCATGTGAGCCAAGTATATGAGATTATGTTTTAGGGATCCTATCTCTATATTTTGCCGATCTCTAATTCATTCAATCTCGATACTTGAGATTAAATAGTCTCTGCTCATCTACCTTCATCTTCTTGATCGCCACAAACTTCAAGTTCCGTCTTGCTCTCACCATAAAACTTCATCTATTCGACCCTTCAAGATTACAGCAACAGTCTAAACAAAAATGAAACTTTTTACTGTCGCTAATACAACTTTACTACTTAGCATCTCAGTTCCGGTAACTTCATCGTCGACTCAACCAAGAGCCGGTCAACAATTAGCGGTGCCATATCAAACGGACTCATTCTTTGTTTATTGTAGAGATGGGGCAGAATATAATAGTGATTATCTCCGTGCTTTGGTCAAACACGGAGTAGATTTACTGAATTCAAACCATCCACAAATAATATACGTTACCTAGTTCAGTTATACGATGTGGGGACCGTACTATGGCAAACCTATAAATGATTGTATGGTTGTCTATAGTCTAAACCATTGAGATTTAAGGTTGGCCGAGGATACTGACATTTTTACAGCAAATTACGTAGTATTTACTTATGATGGATATTACGTGGGTGTGATTTCACGTGTACTTTTAGTTCATGGGGAACAAATGGTGCCATGTTGGTATGGGAATGCACTGTGATCAAGAATTCAAAGTAACTGGTAGACTCGCGTAAATAATACTCTCAATATTCAGTGCTGTATTGTAGTAAGGAACCAAAATTATCTAGTTTCTTTTTTCTTCCTAGCTGCAGTTGTGACAACATTTAGTTTTGCGTCCACGGGCCACACATATGCGATTTGATTTATTCTTGTTCAACGTTCTATTCGGTATCAAATTTACACAGCCACGAGGACGGTAAATCGATCTGGTTAGGGTAAAGCTTTCAAAAATAAAATCCAATGGCCGGCAAAGGCAGATTCTTCACTTTCCAGTGATACCGGTGTAATCGCTCAGTATGCTCTGCATATCTGGAATAGCCAAGAAGGATCGCATCCGAATCGAAGTCGAAAGCAAATACACCCATATCTCCATTTGACGACCTCTCAACCATGCAGCACTCACTCTTATCTTCTGAGTCCTCAACCTCTTCCTAACCACATATCATCTCGCCTCAACGACCGGTAAAGGCGTCCATTAATTGCATACAGGAGCTTGCCTCATTCTTTACCGACCATCATTCACTACAAATTTACGATGCTATTTACACCCGCAAGGAGGAAATCAAGTCGGAAAATGCAAAGCCTGGGTCCTGGCTTATGGGGGACTGCTGCTCTAATTGAACCAACAACTCGAGGGAGAACAGGCGCCTGAGATGGAGAGCGATAGAAGGAAGAAGCCTCTGAAGACTATGGTAGGACAGATATTTTCGAGATGTTTTCGAATTCGGAACGTTTGTGGGCGCCAAAACCGAGATTTCGGAAAATTATGCTTGAGGGCTTCTATTGTCCATGAGTCAACGGCACTCCTCAGAGCCCTGGATACCACAAAAGAAGTTGGGCTAAGCTGCCATATAGCAATCACGCTCTGTCAAGACTTTTCTGACATTCAGCGCGACTTTCGGGGAGGAGTTAGCAGGAGGCCAGAAAGGCAGAGGGTGGATTTCCAGAGGTACACACAAGTCTACAGCGCCCGGCTGGCCGGCCTCTTCGAACGATTCAGAGGGGTAGCGATGTCTTTGGATTTAGTCCCGAGGTCGCTAAAGGGAGAGCCTCGCACGCAATGGCTGTTGCAGTTTTAGCCGGCAGTCACACGCCCGCAAATGACCATGGATTCTCTAGCTGTAGAAGGGAGATTTGCGAGTATGAAATACAAAGGGCTCCTCGAGGTGTAGTCGAATGAGGACTTATGAGGGGTGCTACTGTTTGATGGGAGCTGCATGGGAGGCATCGAAGGGGATTTGCTACTGACTTAGGTATCCTTAGCCTATGGGCAGAGAGGAACAACGCGTCTTACTTAGTCATAGACTCAGACAGGACAATAAAATGAAATTAACAGAGACAGAAGCCACCAGCAAGATATGGAAGGCATGTATGAGCAAATGAGACAAACGATAGCGGTTGTAATGGGCTTATCAAATAGAGAAAGAGGTGAAGTATCATCAGGCCCGCCAGAAAATATCCTGCCCACTACGCCACCCGCGAACTAAGATCAGCAACTCAGCCCCATGACCAAATAAAACGAATTGAAATAGCCTGCCGCATATGATCACAGGAATCTTAGTCAACGAAATACTACAATTACCCCTTTGAGGTACATATAGAAACTTGACGCGGAAAAAAAGAGTTCTCCAGCATTTAGAGCTCATGTAGACTTTCTCAGCTAGGCGGTTGCTGGAACAGAGAAAGAAACGACAATTGGTCAATTTGAGGAATTTTGGGCAAACAAAACGTCGGATGCGATCGAGCTGTGAGAAGAGATGGCATCGCATGTTTCGTGACAGCAATCAAGATCAATTCGCTACAGACTTTATTGTGATATTGTATTATCTCTTGAACTAGTATACGATGTAACGATGATCACTTTCTATGATAATACAAGCTTCTTGTTTAACATGTAACGGCTAGTGAGCCGATTATTATACTATATCACCTACTGTACGACTATACGTAACTCACTGTTTCATTATAGATTAATCTGGACGCCAGTTGAAATTTCCAGTAACTACTAGTAAGTATAAAGGTGTCGGTGAAAGGATCATATTTGGGCAGTATGAATTGTTCTATGTATTTGCGGTAATCAGGTTTTCGTTAGGACACTGACAGAGATCAAACATAGCTCATTAGCGAGGCGCTTAGAGTAGAGGAAGAAATGGGAGATGGAGAAGAAGGAAGAGACAACGTTTGATGTATTTCGAGATAACAGTTAATTGACTTTATTCACCGACTTCGTGACGGCCCCCAATCTGTATTACTTCGTGTTTTACCAACAAAAGGTTAAATGAATTCAGATGTACTTGAAATACAATAACTCGATAGGAATGAATAACTTCTTCCTTGAGAAGAAAATCTACCACGTACTCTCCAATCCCTTATATGCTCTATGTGGACTAGTCTTAACTCCCTCCCTTGGCCACCTAAGAATCATCCTTTCTTCCCGACTTGCCTCCTCTCCTGTACCATACTCCCCATATGGTACGCACCCCCCATGATACCTTCTTTTGCGCACCTTTCATATTTCCGGGAACGCTGCTCTCTCACAACCTAACCTCTAAGATGGAGTGGTCCTAGTGAATAGTCCTAATCCGGGCAAAGCCCGTCACTGTAAGACCGCTGTCACGGTTTGGCCGTTGTCTGAGCTTATGTGGATACCTAAGCGTATTGTTGAAGATTCATGTTGTAAGACTGCAAGGAAATGATAGAGGAAACTGGAAGATACGGCACTACCAGCCAAGGGGCCAGATCAGTGTCACAGCGTAGTGATTCTTGATAATATGTGGCTGGGTGGCAAGTATTCGGCCTAGGGTGAAGAAATCAGTCAAGACAATCACTGAGGGGCTGAATATTATAAATACCCGTTAGTTGTAGCTAGATTTCTCTTTCTTCTATATACAGTTTATTAAATCGACATTATCATCACCAATTCGGGGTTCCCGTCACAACCGCGAACCAGCCTCAGGGAAAATACTAGAGACTGGCATCAGGCGAGAAGAATATTCTTGATAACATAGTGAGTGTATAATTAGTTGAAGTAGTTTATACACAGATAGCCATAGAGTGAATAATAAACAACCTTCGTATATCTGATCACTTCAACATTGATACTAGAACCGTGACATAATTAAGTTGGAAGTGCCAGCTATCGACTAGGAAATGGTAGGCGCTAGGTTGATATAGAACGAATCCCAATAATCTAGATGGGAGAGCGAGTAATTGGCTGGAGAGCATTGATATCAATTAACGCTAAATGCCATTTATATACATACTTGCTCACACAGGAGAGAACAGATCATCCAAATTTTAAAATGTTACTTATTAAGTGGTATAGGTGGAGGATTGAACCGGTGAAGATACAAGAAGATCAGCCAAGAGGAGAGAGGAAACTAAGTGGTGTGACGAATGTGAAAAGTTTAGTTGTTGGAAAACCACTTTATGTCAGCTCTAGCTTCCCCAAGTACGACTGGACATCAAACATGACTTAATCATTATTTTAGCGAGATCTAGCGATGACTCCAGTCATGACTGGCACAGAAGTATTTAAAAGTGGCGTATTATCTGGACACATAATCTGGATCTAAAAATTTGACTCTTCCTGCAAACGTCTCTTAGTCGAGATTTTTCGCTTAAAAAACTTTCTATCATAACGAGAACCAGGTTGCGATTTAGGCATTGGCTTGCATTTGGTTTGCAATCCAGTTGTCGCAAATCTTGCCCACCTCTTTAAACGCGACAGGTTTTGTCATAAACAAATCAATGCCACAACTTAAAGCCTCATTTTGATCTTCTATAGAACTTCTGCCCGTGAACGCAATTATAAAGGCCGATACGAAGCCGGACTTGGAGTTCGATGACTCAGAAGAAGATGGGCCCTCTCCTTGGTCGACGTGTATACGCCTCAGCTCTTCCATGGCACGAATCTTCCGTGTGGCACCAAAACCATCCAAAATCGGCATGGTAAGATCCATGAAAATGATATCATAGCTATTAGCCATAGCCTCACATTTTTGAACAGCCTCTAGACCGTTGTGCGCATTATCGATTTGTGGATATGCTCGTCGTCTTAGATAGGTGCTTAGAAGCTGTAAGTTTATCTCATTATCATCGACTACAAGGATCCTCGGAACAACATGAGGTGGACTAGAAGCGATAGTTTGCTTTGCTGGGAGACTATCCGTATGTAAATGGGAGGCGTTTATAGAGATTTCAACTGGCATCGGTAATCTAGCATTATCCTTGCGGCACGCTGAAGTAGATCTAGGCTTTTTTTTTGGTGCAATAAGCTGTAAGTAGGTTAGTTAGCTAACTGGAGTAGGGTGCTTTGATTTACCCTAGATGTTTCTAAAAAGTCTATGGGCCCAATGATGCTTTGGCAAAGTTCGTCGTCACTAGCTCTGACAGATAGCTCATCAAATACGTGATTAAGATCAGTCAAATCTAGTATCGAGGATCCTAAGTCTGGAGTTTGTAGGACTGGGGCGCCACCAAGTGTTTGACTAATAACTTTTGCCAATTTTACCGGGCCAATTGGCTTCACGATGTAACCGATCTTACATTTTGTTCCAGGAAGAGTAAACATTCGATCAGTAGCCGGAGAGCGAGAACAGAGGGCTATTATTGACGGATCCCTGCTATGAATACTGACGTCTTGGCAAGCAATGGTAGAAATTGAGGCCAGAGATTCAACATTTGCAATGATAACCTGGGCTTTCTCTTCCCAAGGCACAATCCGCATGCCATACCAATTAACAAGAAAGTTGCTAATAGATGCCTTAAGAAGTCGAAGTTGCTCGGATAAAATCGTATCCGTGGCATCGCAATCGAATCCGTAGAATTTTACAGGTAACCCGACAACACGACTCCTCAGGTCAACTATAGCGTCTTGAGGCTTGTTCATTATCGGTCTAGTGTTTTCTACAGATATTGCCGTACTCTGTGGCATTCTCCTGAGGACAGGGATACAAACTTTGACTTCTGACAATATTTAGCTTGCAATTGCAAAGATTAGAGGGTTTATACTTGTGCCTTTCCCAAGTTCGCTATCAATAGTGATTCTTCCTTCCAGTAGGGAGACTATTGCTCTTACAATTGATAGACCAAGTCCAGTACCGCTTGATAGAGTATTCTCTTGAGTAAACGGTGTGAAGAGTTTACTGCGCAGAAATTCAGGTGAAATACCCCGACCTGTATCGGTGACTGTTATAGTAAGCATAGATTGAGGGACAGACTCAGCAGCACCAAGAGGTCCAGTTGTCACGAGATCATCCATATCGGAACAATCTAGTTCAACCTTGACGTAACCTTGCGAAGTGTATTTTAGCGAATTCCCTAGCAGATTCATTATCAATCGGCGTAGAGCTCCAGGCTGGGTCGTGACTTGATAATCTTGTGGATTAATATCAAGAATGACAACGACACCATTTGCGTCTTTCTGGCAGTTCACGAGCCTTTCTGAATCATCAGTTGCTAGCCTAGAATCTGACATTTTCCCTTGCGTATCGGAGATTTGATCAAAAGAATGAGCAGTGGTATTTTGAAAGATATATCCAGCAAAAACGCTGTCAATAACCTCTTCGCATATAATAGAAATGTCAGTGTCTTGAAAAAGTTTGAGCATGGGAAGTTCAGATTGTTTCACGCTGACAGAGCGGCCAGCCCGAGATTTGACTCTCTTTGACTTTCGCCAGTTGCTTTCAAAGTGATTTATCTTCGAGAAATCGAGGATGTGATTCTACGATAAGTTAGTGCCAAAATTTGGTTAGTTTAGTGATCTCACGATTGTATCTAATAAGGTTCTGCCACAGCTTTCGATGGTTTCCACCAACTGTTTCTCCCATCCTGTGGTAACCTCTTCTAGGAATTCAGTACTGGCTAGTATTCCATGCAGCGGTGATCGTAGCTCGTGAGAAATACTACCGATAAAGTCACTTTTCTTCTGATCAGCAATTTCGGTGTCGATACGCGCCCACTCAGCCATGACTGAATTACCAAAAGCAGTCATAAATGAAAGCTCTTTTTGTCTCGATAGAACCCTCATTGGATCGGTTGACCAAGTGAAGCAGCAACTAAGCCAGCGAGTTCGACCGGCGTCCCAAAGGGGGTCAAACAGAAGCTGATGTACTCCAGGGAAATATTGAGATAGAAAACTGTCATCGACTTCGGTAGAATCAGTTTCCAACTTTGGCTCGCTGCAATTTGTATTTTCAGTACCGAGGGTTTCATCAGGAATGACGGTCCCATCGGAGCTAAACGTCCAGAGTTTTCCGCGAGGGTATAGACGCAAGAGGGCGTGAAGGTCTCTGTCTCTGAACGCTTCGAGCTGTTGTGATCCAGGTACAGGATCGCCTTTTAAGGAAGATGCGTTTTGGGTTGAGAATCCTAAAATCTCCGCTCGTCTATTTCTAGTAACATTAATATAAGTAGAGTATTCACTCATTTGAGAAGAGGTATCATCGATTGAATTTAGACAAGACGTAAATATACTTGAGCTCGGTATGTCCCCCGGCTTACACTCGCCTACCGTTTTTTGTTCACTGGCAATAGTGGTAAAATCACACTTGTGCTGCCTGTCATTCCGTGGTACAGATGAGTTTACGTCAGCGTGAGGACCGCTTATCGTTTCGCTAAAGCCGTTCCGAGCATCATAGAAAACCGTCCCCCCCTTTATCTCAAATGATTTTTGAATTATATTGGCTGCTCTGGAGAACAGGGCTCGAATCTGGGTCTCTTCAGAGTCGTCACCCGGTGGGGGGGTGTTCGTGCAGGCGTTGGTCACAGAGTGACGGATTGATGCATCAACCTCTACGGCTTTGCTTTCCAGAATGTTAGTTTGTGTTTGGCTGTATTCAAGTTCATCTGAAGAAACATCCAACGGAGCTGTAGAGTCATTTGATAATCTATCATCTTTTGGATTCGCTGATGACTGAGCGCTAAACTTTGAGACCTTGCTTGTTTTTTTGCTATCAATCTCTCTATTCGCATCCTTGTAATTCACTGTGTCAGAGCCAAATTGACAGCTTCTGTTGGAATCCAATATGGTTTCTTCACTTAAAATTCCCTCTGCAAGTCCTGCTCTCCCTTCGACAAAGGAAGCTAGACCACGACTCATCTTGATCCCGCGACGATGTTCTTCTACTTCTCGAACTAGTTCGAAATGTCTCATAACTGTCTTGGCCATAGTGCCCATAAGTCGGTTGATTGATTCACTCAGACCATTTCCGGGCTTGTCGTCAACGACGAATAGGCTCCCGATTGGTATTCCTCTTTTAGTGATGAGTGGAACACCGATGTATCGTTTCAAAAAGGGTGCGCCAGTGACAAATGGAAGGTTGTTGAAACGTTCATCTTTGGACAAGTCATCTACGACGAAAGAGGGATAGGTTTCACCACATGTCGGAAAAACTGCGATGGTTCTAAATAGAATTCAGCGTCATGTTTAGCTTCAGGGTTGTTCTGCGCCTTACCTCTCACAAAGGCGTCCAGCTTTGGAAACACTACCACACCCAATCCAAAGACCGTCGCCGGGGTCATGTTGAGTATGGTCAACTAAATTCATACTTTTCGTGCTTTCAGCAACAAAATATTGTGTTTCTGCATCAATGAGGCTACGAACAATTAGCTTCATCTGATTTTCACTAGAATAAGATTAAAACCTAATCATCGCTCGTTGGCAGCCTGTGCGCCATGCTGTTAACTGGCAAAAAACCGTCAAGGCTGTATCGGGAGATGATATCTTGGATGAAGAGACGTCGGAGTCTATTTTTAGATCATGGTCTTGTTCAAATTCTTCGTGGCTTGGCGGGGCATCAGAATTCGGTTGTCTAGTGGAATATTCGTCGGGTACTGGCTGGGCTGCAGGCTGGTAGTACCTGTGTTGCACTTAGTAGTTGCGGCGAGATGTACAACACTTTTTGGAGACATTTTGATAAAACTCACTTGTATAGCTCTCGAGCTCGAGTTTGATCGGATATACCATCGATATGCGACATACCGTCAGTCAATTCAGGTGATGACATCTCTCTCGGTACTCAAAATATTCGAATGGTAGAGGTATTTCTTAAGTACTTAGATATGGGACGTGAGGAACAAGGGATTAAACGGGTATGGGAAAAGGTGACGGTTGCCAATTAATTAACGGCTCACGTAGAAAAGTGTTACGTGGTGATAATTGTTTTCAATGAAGGTGTGAGATGAATATGTAGAACATATATAATGATGGCTTCGATACTTTGACGTAGGATACATCAACATTCTTAACTGCGCTGCGTCACCACTGCAAGTGTTTAATGCTATTGAAGAAGCTAGCGCTGGCTTAGCTCCCATCCGATCACAAACCTGAACTGTCCGTCATCGCATCTCCTGTAATCTACTTCGTCTTGGCCAGGGCTTTGGTATGACGCCGGCAGCCGTCCTCATGACAACCAGATGGATGAAGAGATCAGCGTCCTCGGTCCGGGGCTGACAAACATACCGCACTTGAGTTGACTTGAATGGTCAACAATATCAGACAGTGCAAGAATAAGCGAGGAATGATAGGAGTAGCATGCAGATAGATGCAGGACAGCACACTTACAGTGTTCAGTGAGGGAAGTGATTAACCAGAAAATTAGATTGCCACTGGCATTAAGGGCTTTCGTTCGATTTGCGAAACCAAGGTTTCATGCCGCCTTGAACATTAACCAATCGTTGGTCGGACGCGAGGCGTGTACATTAATTAGATTGCGGCCCAAATGCTGTCAAACACGAGCTGGTGGATGGCGACAAGGAAAGAAGTGTTCGCATCAGTCGAATACGGCCATTTTCCTACTTTCATTTGCTTTTCAATACAGCGGTTGCCGAGTTGCACTGAGTCTACTGGGCGTCGGTCCGGCCACATCGGGACTCGCCAGCCTCCATCTTGTTGTAGCCCAAGAACGGTCTCCCTCGTTCTTTTGAAAGAAGCCTAACGGCAACCCCATTCCTCTCTTGAATGTAGAAGAGACTGGAGGAGGCAGCATTTAAGCATCACGGGGCTACCACAGGGCTAGTCGCAGTAGCGTTAGCTAAACCTCGTGATCTTGATGACCGACTTTACCTCTCGACAAGCTGCGATAACTTGCACAAGGCCTCGGTGGCTAGAGGCTCCATAATAGCGACTGGCATAGAACCCGAGCGACAAAGCCTAGAGATTTTGAAATGAGGGGCTCCTTGAATTGGCACCTCGGCTGTCTCTACACTCCAATCTGCAGTTGCTAGCCACACAATCGGTGAACCTGATGCCAGCAATTCTATGAACCCAACTACTAGACAGTTCAGGATGTGACAATCATGGCATGGATGCCTGACTGGGGTAGACTCGTGTGGTGTAGTGTATTCATTAATGAAACGGCCACTAGGTGTAGATCTCTCTATGGGTCAACTCCTGCTTGCACGCCGCGACAACGTCGATCCGCTAGCGATGGCCCCCCAGCCCGTGCACCGGGCCTGACTAGATCACGTTACAAGACGAGTGGGGCTCCCTCGCGTCATTAGTGTCAATGTCTCTATCCCCTCCATTAGCGTTGGCCAGAACCAAATTCTCGTCTTGAACTCTGTTGCCACAGAGAGATTCTCACATCCCAATCAAAGCTGCGAGAATCCTCTTGCCCTATTTACTCCTGAGAATCCCTTCATGTTACTTAATTTTTTTTCTAGCTCCAGTGAGTGTCTTCACATACACAATTGCGAGGCTGCTGAAGAGAGATAACGACTCGAGCCTGCGAAACTTTACCAGATATTTTCTCGTCTGCAGCTTTAGAACGGCATATATCTAGGGTTGGAGAAATACTCCGTAATCCCACACTGTCTAAAATTTGCATCCTCTGTGCTGATAATACCTTCAAGACATGTTAGGGGCTTCGTTGTGCAATGAAAGCTGTAATAGGAAAATAGGTCTAAGTGTATCACCTCAGGTGAAGGAGCCATTCTGCATGTCACACATAGTTATATACTAAGAGAGGACAATAAAATGAATTAGTAATAAAAGAAGTCATTGGCTTGCGGTCTTAAAAAATCTGAACCGACTATGTAATCTTAGATAGAGGGGTTAGATATCAAACCATATAGTAAAATTGTCTTATTGTAGCTACCGAACGTGAATGAGAGGCCTTATGCAGTATTTACTATACGTCTCTAGCTCGGTTTTAGTCGACTTGCTTGATTAAATTTAGGACTTGGGCCATGAAATGACTGAAGGAGCTGTAATTATTATTTTATTGTACATTCTAAGCTTATGACTATATAGTACATGCAAGTCCCCTCTGCCTTCGGACCAAGGATACCAATACCAGTAGTAAAATCCTCCTTTTTATCTCACACTGCTCCCATCAAACAGTACCAACCTTCACAATACCTCATTCGATCATACACTTAGAGGAGCCCTTTACCCTTCATTATCTCCCATCTCCAGCCAACAAAACGATGACCGTTTGCGGGTGTATGGCAGCCGCCGAAAGTTGAAAAATTCAATACGTGTGAGGCGCTCTTTATATAGTGTCAAAGGACAATAGTCACGTTCTATATGGACGCTAGGACTGATAATGATCCACTTTTATGTGAAATAAACGGCACTTCCCGTAGTGCCAACCATTTTCTTTTAAATTGGTGAAGACAAGATTCCGGTCGGAAATCTGCCCAATTCGGGTTATTTGGCGTATTTTAAGAGAGGGGTTCGCTGTACAGCGCTTACAATAGCTTCATAAGTTTGTTTCGGGCCTTCTAGTTCTCTTTAGATCATTCGATATAATAGATTACATTAGTTACCGTGTCACCTCAGGTTTGGTTTGTTCATTAACAAGTTAGGTAAAGTGACTACTGCTGCACTCCTACTGGAGCTTAAGCACGAGTGGGGCCGGGCTGGATCAGGTTAACTACCGTAAAGTACATCCACCTCGTCCCACCTCGGCTTCACCCACGTGTTGAATCATGTCAAGCCCAATCATCCAGAGAACCCTCTTTTGACGTGCCGAAGCGCATATTACTCCTCAGCCTCGGCCAACAGGCGCCCGAGCCCTTGATACCTTCGCGATCTGTAACTTTTGTTGGAAATGGAGACACGGAGTGTTGTGGACGTACGGGCCCTCCATTTCGTCTAGGTTCCTGACACGATCTCGTGTGTACTTAAGAGGTTGGAATAGGTAATATAGTAGCACTTCAGGCTACAAGTTCCAGCTTTGGCTCATCTCAGCATCTCAACATCTCATCCAGGAGTCGTTTTCTTCATTGGAGACCTCATCCAGTCGCCCACCAAGGCCTCCTCAATTGGTATTCCCGTTTGTTCCTTCGTGTAGTATCCCTCTATCCTTCAGCCCGTCTCCTCATCCCAGAAACTTTGTAGAATGTCCACCCCTCCGTCCTTGCCCCGTCGCTGCCGTACCCCTAACCGTGGAGGTCGAAAACGCGACTGAGAGCTCAAGACCGAGCCACCGGTGCCCCAGCCTTGTCGAACGCTCTGGTTAGTGTGTCGGCAAAATGTCGTACGTATTTCGTCGGTGGCGATTCGTCGCAGGTCGAGTTATTGGTGCAATTGGCCGAGGTGAGGACGCATTTAAGGCCGGTATTTCGACCGTACATTCACAGAGACTGGCAGTTGCGGAGGCTCGAACGCCCTCTTGCTCCTTAGTTGGAAATTTGGCTTTTGGAGGTATGGGATTGCTTCGGTAGGTGTTGAGATGATTGTGGAGTGGGCCGCGAGATGAGTTTGGCTGGGAATAATTTTCCAGAGAAATAGAAAATTAGATCTTGAAGGTGTCGGTTGTTGTGATACGAACATCAGAAAGATTATAGCCTATCTGCGGTTCGTATCTGGGGTATAGATGATTGATTTCGTTGAGTTGTGCAATTGTGAAATCTCTGCAAGTCGGATTTTCGACCAAAAATGAGCCAACACCACTCCTCCCGATCGCCAACTCGACGAAAACTCTCTAATTCACCCTTTGACGTGACTGAATCTCGGCTCTGGGAGAATATTTCACTCCCAGGTTCGTAGAGGGCACCACTGACAGGTGTTCAGCCTTCTTCTTCCCAAGTCACCTCAGGGATCGGGCTGCAGCCATAACTGTAGCCCGGTAGACCTTAGAAATAAATAGATCATTCAATTGCCCTGATTCGGCGCCTTGAGGCTCGTGCAGGTATTTATCGGACGATAAGTACTTTAAGGAGGATGACTCAATTTGACGTTTAGAACTCTCCCACTCAGATTTCATTTGCAGATACCACTCGAGGTTAACCCTTACAGTGTATAACCTCTTCTGTGCATACCCACCACAGGGAAAAGCGTGAGAAACCTGTGGTTTTCCGAGTGTGCTTACATCATCCCACAAGTGAAATATCACGGGGAGTGTGAACGGTAAAAGCAGACGGTCAGCGCACGTATGTAATATCATAAAATAATTGATATTCTTCTATGGGAGAGATAACTACATCTGGATCGTGCGGACACTAAGTGTGCCCTGACCATCACCTTACATAAGCACTATTGAGAGAACTTGTTCTGTGCGTGAGGCTCAGCCTTTCACTAAGTCCGAATTATATGTAAGGCTGGGCACGCAGGTCAGCACAGACGATCAGTAGCGGGTAAACCCGTAACAGCGTATGATTGTGTTGTGTTGGTTTTACTGGATTCGAACCAGCTTTCTCCTGTCTTAAATGGGGTGGGTGTTCAAGCTACCTAGAATCTACTTGGGAGAACGGCCCGAATGGTGTAGCACTTCACCATTCAACCCCACCTTTATGTGTACACATTGTTTAGCTAGTTGTACTCTCACAGATAGTATGGTGTTGGGATTTACCCTTACTGACACGCAGAAAAGATTAAATAGCTCTCAGTTTTTTGTGTTTAGGAACTGCCCGTCACGAATAAACTTTCTTTCCTTTTGTGTTTAGGAACATGACGCCTCAGGCAACCAGAGTAGTAAGCTCTGGCGTCCTTTACCTGGTTGGGTGTATAGGGCAAAGGGTGAACGCTCACTCTACTTAAACGTTAAAAAAAAAACCAAAA